TTTCCCTACTTATAAGCTGAGGTCATATCTTCACTCACACAGGTGTTTTTACTAATTTTTTTCATAAGCAGCAGTAAAAGACAGTTGACATCAGATGTAACAAACTCTAGAAGTATGTAGGACACAAATTAGAAAATTAAGCAAGAAGTGTTCTGGTTTTAACTCATAGGCCTGGACAGAGGGAAGTATGGAAGAGGTAAAAATGTACTTTTATCTTAATTGTACACTGTACCTTTTGGATTAAATCCTCTCGGCATCAATCCAAAAGTCTCCACTTCAGGGACCTCATTTTCCTCAGCATTAGAGTTGTTTAATGGGAGGGCTCTTCTCCCATTCAGAGGGAGTTTCTTCTCTGTTTTGGTACTTGTTGTTTCAGACATCCTGTATTAAAAATGTTGTAATACCATGAAAGAAAGATAGAGTGCAAGGAAAAAGAGAACAGGAGACAGCATGGCATGTGTAAGATGAGAGAAACCAAAACAGTGCGGGGTGCCAGTGAGCTACACATTTTTACACTCACATAAATAAAAACTGAGAGGCAGAAAACATCAGTCTAATGATGGAGTACAGCTCCCTAAGGCTTGGAAGGCATTTCGTGTTTGTCAAAACACATGAATAAGAGAAGAAGGGGGAGTGGGGGAAGGAAAAGGAAGCCTAACACACAAAAGTATTCATATGGGAGAAGCAGGGCATTCAAAACATTTGAGAGTTTCTATAGGCCAGGATAAAAAGTGAAAAATTATTCATTCCCACACCCTTCAAAACAGCATTATAGTCTCCTAAATTATATCCCCAGAAAGTGCATCACACATAATCTCCACCAATAAAAATGACATTCTATATTATACTGCAATCATCCCAAATACTACAGCCTACAACTGTTTGTGGATGATTACTGGAATATTATATTTTTGTGTCTATGCACGCATACACCCAACACCTAAAGAGCTATCCCAACACCCAGACAATCAGCTGGAGAGATGGAGAGAAAGAGAGAAAGAAAGAGAGAGGAAGAGAGGCAGGGAAGGAGAGAGAGAGAGAAAGAAAGAGAGAAAGAGAAAAAAGAAAAGAAAAAAGGAAAGAGAAGAAAAGAGAAGAAGAGAAAAGAAAGGAAAGCACTTATCCACTTATTTCTGTTTCACTAACAACCTTAAGGGAAATCTCAGATGTAGGCTGATCAGAGACTTCTCTTTGAGGTAGTCAAAAACTAGTTTCACATCTATTTACTGTAAGCACGTAGCAATGAAAGAGCCATGCCATCCTTCTAAGAAAATATTCATGACTGAGAACACAGCTTCTTCCCAAAGCTCCTGAAAACAGCAATTCAAAAAGTAGCAATTATTTAATAGAAGCAAGTTCTTAAAGGAATTTTTTTTAGTTAGCAAGGGTACCTTCTTTTCAGATAGTCTTTTTTTTTTCCTTCTCCCTCTCAGATTTTCTTAAGTATAGAAGAAGCCTGGAAAAGGTTGGGGGCTTTTAAGCAAACTCTGTAAATCCTCCTCCCTCCTGTTGCAATAGGGCAGTGCTGAAAGGGTTGGCAAGCCCTCCCCACACCACCTCAAAGGCTCTGTCACCACTGCTGGCACATCTTGTGTGACAGTCGCTTACTCCCTCCCTCTCCCTGCCTGTCTTACCCCCATCCTACTGAGCAGGAATATTTCAGAGCACTTGGTCTAAGGAGACATCTTGGGCACAGACGTTTCAGTTTTCAATGAGACTGAGTAGTGCTGCTGATGGCATGAGAGCATATAAACCAGGAGACTGGAGGGGATTTTCTGAGGGCCACCACCCAAGAAGTAGTTCACCATGTTGCTAGTCTTTAATGGTGTCTTTCTCTCAGCATCCCTGCAATGCAATTTTAAGTGCTGGTTTTCAGAGTATTCCTGGGTGGACCTAGTGGCTGTTCCTCTGTCCAGTGCCCCTTGGTAGTCCTTTCAGAGGGGGTCACACAGACATAGGGAGCTTGCTGGTGGCCCAAGAGAGAGGGCCTTTTCCTTGCTTAGACTCTGAGCAGTTCAGGAGACTGTTTTGCCCTAAACAACTATGCTCAGGGAAAATGCTCTTCAGCTCTTGCCCATGATAAAATGCATATAACCTAATAACCAGTGCTTGGGCAGTAATTCAATACCTGGTGTGCTAGCTCCCAAATTTCCAGTCATCCTCTAGGCACACAATCCCAGCAAGGCCCTCTTCACAGCCTGTCTCTGTCCTTCTCTGCAGCCTGTGTCCTGTTCCTGGGTGTGTTCTCTGGCAGTTTTGGGTTGTGTGTCTGGTCTCTGCCCCAGGGCAGTCAGGCCCTTAATCAGACATTGGGGAGGCTACACCGTTGTATCCGGAGTTCCTCAGCCATGGAAAAGTCTTCCTGACCTATTTAGGGATCACAGAGGTTGAGTCTTAAGGGACTTACCCTAAATAGGCAGGCATTACTGCCTTACGTCTTTCAAACAGATGTAGGCTCTGAAAGGCCATGGGGAAGTAGTGTGGAGAGGTCCAGACCCTAGTCCTCCTTCCTCCCTTTTGCCCCATACCAGGCTGCATGGTGGGGTCATAGACTGCACACAGTGCCAATGATGTGAGGCAAATTCTGCATAGGCCTTTTTTGCAATGCCACAAGCAGCTTTGGGACGAGTGGCGCACCTGAGGTTACTCCATCCGCTGCTCTACAGAGATATGATGGAGGCATCCTAAAGGCTGGCAGTGTGGATGCAGCCCCTCAACTTGAGGCCCACTGGGCCATCTGTGGGAAGGACCTAAAAGAGTAGTGTAGTAGTGTAAAAGAGTAGTCTCCTCAGGAGACCTGAGGACCTTCCTTTCTCTTCCCCACGTCCAAAATAACGGCATAAAGTGTCTTAAACAGTGTTATGGCTCATCCCTCTGCCACACCAACTTTGTCAAACTCCACCAAGGTTTAACATAACTGGGGATTAAGCTCATTGACACTTTCTCTATCAGAAGTAACTCCATAGGCCAAACAGGCAGTGGAGCCCCTCTTATGGATATGGGAATATCCATGATCATTTATTCTGCTCAGTTGCATGGTGGGTAGGGGAGTGAGAAGACAAAATATGGGATTCCATTCTCTTTCAGCCAGCTATGGCTTCCAGGCCAATAACATCATCAAAGCCTCAAACCTCTGCTGACTTAACACCATTGAAATCGAGCCAGGAGGCAGAACGGGAGAGAATTTGGCCGTATTCCTGTAATGGTAAATCATTTGAAAGAAAAAAAAAATGAATTCCCATCTCATTTCTCTGGGATTTTCCTAATAAAGACCACAGCCTCAGCAAGGTAACTCCACACAAGCCAGTAAACCTGCACAGCACAGCACGGGGCAGAGATGCTAGCTGGGGTCCTGGAAACAGCATAGTAGCTTTACCACAGCAGTGTAGCCAGGCTAATTAGCCTGCTAGGGGTAATTACCTAGGCACAGCACCTTGCTGAAGTGGTTTTGGAGCCAGCCTAGCTATCTCCACAAGTACAGCACTGCACTGTCTCATTGCCAAAGAGCTCAAATTCCCTCCTGTCTCCCTGAGCATGTTATTACACACATAGCATAGAAAGCCAGCTAGCCAGCGTACTCCACTTCTCATGCAGCGCTGCTCCAGGAGTGCAGGCACCCCTCAAGGAGAAAGTTGGTCCTACCACTGTCATCCTGAATTGCAATTTCCCTTGACTCACTTTTACACAGATGGGCCTTGCGATAGCCATCTGGAGGGCAAGCAATACTCCTGACACTTAGGAACACAGAGAGCTTTCTGTGGGAGGAGGCTGATATTGCTGATTTTTTTTTTCACTCTTTGATTTCTATGTGCTGTGGTTTGTTTGTGCCTCCCTCTGCATTTGCAGCCAGCATTTCAGTTCCCAAAATTGCAGCTGCTGTGACGATGTTACAAAAACCGATATAAATATTGCCTCAGTGCCATGCCTGCTGGAGGCCTGCAACACAAATAAGAAATGCAGTCTCCTGAGGAAGTCATGTGCTTCCCCAAGCGGCAGCGGTGCTGTCAGAGCTGGGAGGAAAACTTTCAGTCAGAGAGAGAAAGACAGTGAGAGGATGCAGCCGAACAATCCCATTCCAGCCACTGTGCCTTAACAACCAGCAGTTGCAGATGTCTCCCTGTGCCCATTCACATCTCTCTGCAGCTTTCAGCAAAAGCTAACAGTGACTCAGAAAGCAGGGAGACCACAGTTTTTGGTGGTGGCAACAACAGTGGGGCTTTGCATCCAGGGAGACTAATGTTCCATAGACTGTAACTCATTTATTTTATGGGGAGTGATGTAAATTCATGCTTATGACAGCTCCAGATGGCAGGTATTTTCTCATTACCTTGACTTCTTAGCATTTGCTCTCCCTTGCCTACTAGACTGCACTGGCCTTAATTTAACTCCCATGGTTCAAAACTACTGACGTCAGGCCTGATGCAGGAGAGGGCATAGAGAACATGAAGCCTTGGTTTGCCAGTAATGCCTTATATTTAATTAATGATGCTCTGGAATGACCGGTGAAAGAGTCTTCTTTCGTTGCAAAGCTGCTACTGCACAGCACGCTGTGGGGAACTGTGAGTGTATGGCCATTTTTCAGAGACAGCCTTCGAATGCTCCTGGCCTTTGCTAAAGACCTTTGCAATCATAGATGCTCTTTCCACTGGCTCCAATAGACTTTGGATGATGGACAGCTGTTCTTCCTAATCCCCACAGAAAAGCCCCTAAAATGACTGGAAAGCTTACTCTGTAAAGAGGTATCTAAAATTTAGCTTCCTGTTGTCTTCACAGCCAGCCACACTTTGTTCCAATTTTTCTCCTGCCAGACAAGGGTTTTGGGGGAAAAAAGAACCCGAAACCCACAAGGGTCAATAAAGCTTTATAGCCAGAGAAGAGGGCATGCCAAGATCTGTCACAAGCAAACTGATCAGTGTCATGAACCAGGTGCTCATATAAGTGGGTTGCTTTGCCCTGTGCCAAGGGCTGGGTAGGAAACACATTTTGCCTACCGTTTCTTTAGCTATACCAAGCACTACTCAGCAGCAGCTGAACATTGTAATGCTCTGCAATGGGGTGACTTTTTTTTTTACTTTTTTTTTTTTTAATTTTAGCCTAATGCCATTTACAGGCTAGACAGGTGCTCAGACTCACTGGGTCATTATATTACAGCATGTGCAGAAGTGCACCTGCAAAGACATCATCCCTACTTCCTCATAAACCAGCCGCTTTCAACCCTGATCTTCTACACATACTATTCCTATACCTCCTTATCTTCTCAGAGCTTCACTCAGGAATTTGCCCCCTTTCTAGATGGTCTAGTATATCCGCCCCCCTCCCTCCATATCACCACTTGACTCCCAGAAACTCATTTTGCTCTTCCTATGATGCACTGCCTCATCAGGGCTGCAGGCAGAGCAGAGTAGACACTAGTAGAAAATATGATTAGAAATGGTATTTTTTTAACCAAACAAATTTCAGATATGTTCATTTAGTGGTTTTGTTTGCATATTTTGCTTTGGATTTTTTAAAAACGAAAACCAAAAGCAGCTAATGTATCTGTCCATGTGTTACAGCTCTGGCTATCATACACAGAGAAGCATATCTTTGCGTTAATGCTGAAAATTCAGAAGGCCTCCCTCTGAAACACGGCATGTGTACACACGTCTGTATGTGTGAAAGAGGAGCAGAGGCAGCGAGAGATAAAATGGCAGCTCTTCAGATGGTGGAACATTTGGAGAGGGGATATAGGGCCAGTTTTCAAAAGATATTGTTGCAAATGTTTATGTTGCAGGCCAAAAAAAAAATATATATATATATGTATATACACACACATTTTGCTAAGAAAATGTAGCTTAGGAAACTTAAATCTTCTCTGAAAAATTGTTATTCCAAACTGCAAGTCTAAATTCCAATATTATAATTGTGTAAGCATCTATATCTGAGCTGGCCATCTTAGGCTCCCTTTATCCTCCACAGAGATCTAGTCAAGGCAGTGATTCATCTCCTCCTACAGTAGACATGTAAATAGGTCAGATGAATCATGGCCTAAAAGTGCCTGTTCCCTATATTGACTGTAAAGGGAACCTGGGGTGGTAAGTCCTGCTGTATGTGTCTACACTGCCAGTGTCTGCAGTGAGGTGAGAAGAATCTCATCCTAGACATGGAGAAAGACAGGAATTTATTTTGTTTTTGAGGCCTGGCTTTCAAGTGGTAAATTCTCCTTTTCTTTAATGGGAGACACTGCTCAGAATCATTACCAGTGATACACAGTACACAGTAAAATATACTACTTCTCTCAGTATGTGTGGTTGCCACTGCCAATTATGTAAAATATATTTCCTACAATAAGGATCAGATTTCACTAAAATACATACCAGCACATAAGTTCAGGGTTGGGGAAAGACATGTATCTTTTTGTACTCATCTGTGAAGGCATTTCTTTGTTGCAGACAGAAATATAACTGTACATGTAGTAAGTGAAACAAAATAAGAAACCACTTGCATTATCTGCTATGAATATGTAATCCTGTTCATACTGATATCTGAATGCAAAGTATTTAGTTGGTTTGGTGCTGGGCATTGCCCAATACGGGAAACAAAGACCAAGAGAGAAGCCAAGCTAGGACAAGGGCTGTTCACAGGAGATGGTACTCCCAGGTTCCAGCTAAATTAATTGGTTTATGTCTTGCAGGAGCTGAGGCCCTAACAGATCAAGGAACATTGTTCTCTTAAAAGCGGGAGTGGAGAACTTCTCTGCTGCAGCCAGCTGGTGCAGAAGCTGACAGAGACCCAAAGGCTGCAGCCCTTGGAGTTTAATTTCAACCCAAAAAGAGCGAACAGGACATCAAAGCAATGTGGTGTCTCCCTTGACTTGAGCAAAGACAGCCATTTTAGGTGAAATGTTTGTTTGAATAAGTCCTACCATGCATGTCGTACATTTGGGGCAAAAAGGAGACTTATCTAAAGCAGCTGCTTTGCCTTATCACTCCCACGTTCCCAAAGAGAAACTTGTGGTCTAGGGACCAACCTTACTAAGTCCATTAGGCAACGAGACTGAGAAGAGAAACTGTAACTTGGAGAGCAGGAGGATAGCTGAATTGTATGATCCCATTTCAGAGACTGTTGACAGATATGTAGCCTCCTCCAAACAGCCATCATATCTAAAGATGGAGAGAAAATAATACATTTAATCTGCAAAGACTTTGTGTACGCTTCTTGAAATGTACTCACAGAGCTGCTTGAATTTTTTCCAGTGCATTCGTCCCCTTATAGTGAATGTTCATTCCACAAGAATGAAACATTTTGCACGAAAATGACCACTGATTATGGCAAAACAGTTAGTGGGAAACTACCAGAATATGTTTATTTTTGATTTGGCTGTTTCAACATTTAGGTTTGCAGCTGGGCTGTGATCCTGCAGATACTTGATGCTAGTATGTGTATAACAGGACAGGCATGGGGCGCTCAGGGAAGAGAACGTCAAAGCTTCTGCAAAGACCCAGCTTGAATTTAGTAGCTCCATCTCAGTCCTGCACCCACACTGGCTCCTGCAGAGCTACAGAGCTACAGTCTTCAGCACCAGAGGAGCTCACCTGTCACACACAGCACCAGACGCACATGGGGTCCATGCCTTTGTGCTATGCCCAAACTACCACGGCTCCTCATCAATGTGGCATTATCTCGGACAGAGCCAGGCCAAAATTGATAAGCTAAGGAAGACCCAAACTATCTACAGCACAAGCACAGAGGGGTCTGTGCCCTGTGTCCCTGATACATTTGATCCCAAGACCTGGCACAACACACTTAAGATATCCCTGCATGGAGCCAGTTGGCTTCAGCAGGGCTTAGTAGTTCCAGCTCTGTGTCACGCACAGATGAATATACTAGTTTTAGCATTAGGCTGAACAACAGTGTCATGCAGCATTGCACTTTAGCTAACAAGCTGTATCAGACCAGAGCTCTTCCTACATCCAGGGGAAGGATAATACACAACCCAGACAATCAAGGCATGCTTAATTGACAGTTGGTTCTGATTAATTTAGTACCATATGTGGACATGCAATGTTTCAATCTTAATGTCACAGAGTGTTTCAACATTACTGAAACAAAATGTTTCAAGTACACTCCATTACAAGATTTCCAAAGGTAAACATTTCCTAAATCTCATTTCAGGGTAAAACTTCCTGTTCCAGTTCAGAACAAAAATACATTTTTTAAATGCCCGAATGTCTTGTAGAACAGTTTTTCCTATTGATACAAACATAGAGGTAGTGTGTAAGCCCACACACAACAAAGCACTTAAGCACATCATAACTTCAAGCTTGTAAGTAATCCCATCTTTAGGCATATGCTTAAATCCTATGATGTGCTCAGCTCAGCCAAATCAAGGATGTAAAATATCTGTTTGCATATAAACTCTTAAGCTGCCTGTTGTTGCATTTCTACCCACTTTAACAAGTCTCTAGCACAACTGCCTCTTGACTTCTTTTGAAGATGATTTCCAAAGTGGGTTGTTGATCCATCTTTCAGTCCCAAGACTGACCTTATCTTTGTGCAAATGAGCTGAGTAATTGCTTATTTAAGGAAGTGTGCAATGTTTTGAGAAGTAAGTTCAAATGTGGATTGTAAAACATCACAACTTCTTGGGCTGGTAATGGTGGATGTTCTGGAGGGAGAAAGGAAATTAAAAGACTGAATCATTATCCAGATGAATTTCAAAAGCAATTTAAAAGTCATTTCATAATCACAGATACGTAACAAATATACCTGTCCAGCACAAGCTGTAGGCTTTGATTTTTGTGAAGTCTGCAAGTTCTTTCCTTTGCTATTCCCACTGTAACCTTTTTCAGTGTGGTTTGTAAAAGGAGACTCTAAGAAGAAATTAATGCCTTCCAAACTCTCTGCACACCTGTCTCTTTCTATAGCGCTGTGCTGCATCCACAAAATTACTGCTAACACGCACAAGTGGAATACAAATACTTTCCCCTTTGTACTCTTAGTGGGTTCATGACTCGAGTAAACATAAAAGTCAAAGCAGCAGAGAGAAACTGCATCAGGAGGACACCCACAGCAAGCTCCCAAGCACCTTGGCTAATTTTACCCTATATTATAAAGGATGGGTGTGCATAGTATTTGGATGATACAAGCTTTCTTTCACCTGTCCAGAAGCTGTGTAAATTCTGTCAGAGCAGTGCAAAGTCCAAGATAATAATCACAGCTGATAGGCAGGGTCTGTGAGCTGAAGCTTAGCTCCGCTACAGTCGCATTCATTTGCTACATGGCCACTTCTGAAACCAGGCAAAGCTCTCCCGTGGGTGTCTGCATGAAGCATGGAGCTCCCCTTAGGGGCCCCTTCATTAGAGGCTTGCTTTCTATCCCATCTGCTGGCTGTGTGCCCCTGCCAGACTAACCTAAGCTGAGAGCCTGCAAGTAGGCGTGCTAGGACACACCTCTGCGTGCACACGTCTTCTCCTTGACTTTCTTCCCATGGCTACAGATTTCCCTCTGGCACATCTCTCTCCCAGCTGTAATCTTGACAAACTTTCTCAGCTACCATAGCAATGGCACAATCTTTTGCTGTTTTCCTTTTGAGCCACTTTCTACAACAGCCTTTCATTGCTTTAGATTTCCTTTCAACACAGCAATGGTTGGTTGCTCGGGGAGTGTTTGTTACTCTACAAATAGACTGGAAAATCATCCAGAAAACAAGACTGCAAACAACATGGAAATTGATCTATTTGTTGTATATTAAACAATCATTTTCTCAGAAAGGCCCCTTAAATTCTTAATTTTTGGACCTGTGAACAATTATACGTAGTCCAATTCATATAAAAAATAGGGGACTCACTGGGTGTGGCCCAGATGTCTTGACCCACATGCCTTTTTTCCTGGAATTCTTCTTGAAGCACTGCAGTCCTTGTGACTCACCTGGATAGTTTCTTGGCGATGTGCCTGGAAACGGGGCACAAGCAGCATGTTAGGAAATGATGAGAAAAGTGGTAGTAACATTAAATTCAGGCATTATCCAAGGTAATTTCAAGTAAGAGGCACAAACATGGCTTGAGAGGTGTCCACAGGAATACACAGATGGAAATGAGCTCCTACAAAATACATCCTAAAATCAGCCATGTCACCATCTTGAAAGAGAGACATGGCACTACTGGAGAGAGTCCAGCGGAGGGCTACAAAGATGATTAGAGGGCTGGAGCACCTCTCCTATGAAGAAAGACTGCAAGAGCTGGGCCTGTTTAGCCTGGAGAAGAGAAGATTGAGAGGTGATCTCATAAACGTGTACAAGTATCTGAAGGGGGAGTGTTGAGAGGATGAGGCCAGCCTCTTCTCCGTGGTGCCCAGCGACAGGACAAGAGGAGTGGAGTCTCCTTCGCTGGAGATATTCAAAACCCGTCTGGATGTGATCCTGGGCAATCTGCTCTAGAGGACCCTGCTTGAGCAGGGAGGTTGGACTAGATGATCTCCAGAGGTCCCTTCCAACCTAAACGATTCTGTGATTCTGTGATCTTGCAAGAGGTCTTGCACCATCTTGCACCTCTCGCCTGCAAGACAGACAGCTAATCACTGAACAGAAATAACATCATGACACCGTAATGAGCAGTTACTAATTAAAGAGAACGAGAAGCAAGTAACCTGAATAAATGGCTTTTGAGCAACCAATAAGCTGAATTTGTTCACAGCATTCCACAATGAATTTTAATCAAGAACATGCATTCATAAAAAGCAAAGTTGATGTGTGCACCTCTGAAGGAAAACGTTGGGGCAAGTAGGCAAAATGTTGGGAACTGCTTGCTTAACTTCTGCCACTGATGGGGCCAGTGGCTGACTACTACTTCTGTTCTGTACCTACTGAGAATCAGTGTTCAAATGCTGAAACTATAGCTGCCTGCTATCACTTTTGGCAAGATTTTCTTTTGCATTCAATGATAAAAATAATTTTTTGTGTCTATTACATACTAATGTTTTATAGCACCTCTCTAAGAAACGTGGCCCAAAATAAAATGTGTGATCTGTGGGCATAAAAAATAACAGCCCCTTGGAATGTTTACAGAGGTCGTTGTTGCAAGTCTTTATCTAATTAAAACTACTTTAAGGCTTGTGTTTATTCTCATGAACACACAGCCTTCCATGAAGAAGCCTTTAAATATACATGGAGAACTTCAGGAATAATGCAAATTATGGTCAAAACTCACTGTAGCCATGACATCTTTTAGAATGAAATCCCATGAGAAATCTTCAACTGCTTTACCTCGATGAATGCTGAAAATATTATACCTTTTCAAGACTTTAACCACTCCAAAAAAAGAAGTGCAATCTCACTGTAATAATGTTGTCTTAATTATATACAATACTTAGCACTAGTTTTACACCAGATGAGTCATAGTATAAGCTTGTACTTTGCTGTTTGACTAAATCCCACGACACTCAGAACTCTCTGCAGTGAATGCCTGGCACTTTGTGCGGAGCTCTTCTCCCAAACCATGCCTGCTGGAGCCTTTAGGGGAGGTTGGTTTGAAGGGTGCTGCAATAGGAGGAGCGGGCATTGCATTTGGAAGTAAGGGCTCAGAGTCAGTAAGAACATGCTGGAGAAATGTCTTGAAAGCTGATCGGGTGTTTATTCTTCTACAGTCATGTTCATTTCAATTAACTTGGACCCCAGATATTAGAGAGCTGGATTTTCTTCCTTTCTTTTTACAGGCAGCTTATCTCCTAAATAGATAGGAGGCAATTTTCTGTCACGTTTGTATCTTGTGCTGTTTGTGGTAACATTTAAGACAACAACAAACAACTGAGCAGTCACTTGAAATTCTTGCAGTCACTTAAGAAGCCCCATTTGCTTGCCTTACCCCATCCCATCTTGTCCTAATAAAAACAACCCCTGGGCACCTCTTTATTTGTACAGATTTTCCCTCCGTCCTATGTTTCAGTGCTTGTTGAACTCAGCAGTCACTGATGAGCACTGGATCTTCCCCCAGCTCCTTCCACATGCTCATCTCTTGGAGAAAGCTGGCCATTCTCAAATCAGTTGTTACTGTGATGCTTCAGCTCTTTTATCTATAGCACGTGAATAACTGCTTTCAAGCCTCCATAAATGGCATTGGAAACTCTGAAGAAAAAACAGTGCTGGATGGATCCTTTTAAAGGTATTTAGATCCTTTTAAAGGTATTTATAAAGTTCAGAGCAGATGGACTTGCAGTGGAGTACACTACAGTCTTCATTCACAGTCAGTGGGAGAGGAAGGCTCCAGCCTCACGTTTTTTGAATCTCTGTCTGGAAAGCTACATAGAAAATTTAAAGTTAGAAACTGTGAAAAGTTGTTCCTGTCTGCCTCTCTCCCCTCCCGCTTGATAAATATGCAGAGTGCCTAAGTGCATGGCTACCATGGATCATCAGTAGAAATTTGCTGAAAGCCTCCTTTTCTGTGAATGATAAATATTCTATGTGCTAACCATCCTTGTAATGAATATCCTACTTTGGCATTTTCCAAGGGACTCCTGATTAATTGAAAGAAATGAAATACTTCATGTTGAAATAACAGCTGGTTATGATACTTATCAGTATCAGCTGACAGTCTAGGGATGTACACTTCACCAGGAAGCTTTCACTCCCACATATTTTTTTAAATAGAAGCTGATTTTTGCAAACTTAGTACCTATAACCTAAAGCTTATTACATGTGGCATGCAGTCTTTAATTAACAGTTAGTGTTTTTTAAAGTGCAATAGCTGTCCTTCCAAAAGCATTACCCAGAAGAAACCTTGAGGAGTGATGTGTATACCACACTGTTGTTACTATTGTAACAATATATGCCACACTATTGTTTATCCATTCAAGTGAAAGGATAATCAAATCATTCTGCTCATGAAATCATGTCATTTCCATTTTAGCCAGGAATACACTAAATAATGCATTATTCCTCAGCTACTCAAAAGGTCACTGTTTGGTCTACGAACAGCTGCAACAGCTGTGTTCCCCCAAGACCCTGCAATGAGCACAGAACAAAGCGTCTGAGAACTGAGGACAGGCTCAGGGGATGTAGATATGGGACTGGCTTCAGAGGGCTTCTGGCAAATCCAGCTTAGCACCATTCCCAAGTTGTCCCATCTCTCACTTTCTATTTCAACCCCAGAGAGCCTCCTCCTTTCCCCTCCCCTTCCTAAGTAAATTAGTCATACGTAAAATATGAGAAAATAAACAACCAACTAAGATTTTGACACCATGCAGAGAGAAGTATCCATGGAGATTAGGCACCTCCTAATCATCATTGATTTCCCATCACATTTGACAGAAAGATGCAACAGAGAGAATAAAATACCCCCCAAGGAAGGCACTCTGTGAGGCAGAGTTCAGCTTAGAGGCTGCTGAATCTCTTGTTCCCAAGCTATAACACAAGTGAGTTATTTTGTGACGAAAATACATATTCAGTAGAAGCAAAACTATCTGACCTGCAGCTGGGCTAGATGTAGTCCTAATATTTGAGCCTTTCATCCAGTGGAACTGGATGAAAAAAACCAGTGGCTTCTTAGATATTATCTCATTATCAGGAGCTCAGATTTAAGTTTTGGAACTGGGAATTCATTCAGCTTTCTAGATCAGGGTGATGGCTATAACATATGGATTTCAGTGTGAGAGAAGAGTTTGAAGGGGAAACAAAATTATCCTGGCTTATTATCTAGTTCAGAATCTATATCCTAACAGGTAAGTCAAGATGGTATAGAGGACAGGTCCTGCCCAGACCTGGCTTTGACGGGACGGTGGATGAAGCAGTGTGCGATTCCTGTAGCATTTCCTCAGTGATCTTTGCCACAGATCCATTCCTGTTCTATTTCCTGAACACCTAAATCAAAACTACCCACAACCAGCATGCCTTTTGTTTCAAACTAAAGCAAACAAACAAGGAGAGAAATAATAACCACACAAAAGAGAAGCTAGCGTGTAACGCACTGTATGGGTCATCTTGAATTGATGCATAGCAATCCCTCCCAGATAACAGCCTGGGAGCACTTTATTTTTAAAGGTCCAGCACACAACAGCAGAATGATAGTATGCATTCATCTAACCATATGTACTACTCATATCTTTCCTTACCCAGAAGAATAAGTGAATCTTAAAAAAAGATGGAGAGAAAAAAACCCGATGTGGAAGCACTGAGTTAAATATAATGCAAAAAAGTTCTGTATTCCTCAGCCCATCCAGATGTGCTTTCATCCCTTCCAGTGACTGACACACTGAGACTGCACCAGGTCTCTGTGAAAAAGCTCTGAGCTCTGGGATTTCTGTCCCCATTCCAGGGTGATGTGGGTTTAATTAACTCCAGCTGCCACTGTTTGCGTTCCCCCATGGCACAAGAGTTCAGCACCATTGTGAGCTAGCACAAAATCCTGGTCAAAAGTATGTGCCATGTGGCAAGGCTCTGCAGTTTAGCAGGCTAGCAGCACTGGTGCCACAACAGGCACAGGAAGGTGGCAGATACCAAAGGACAGAAAAGAGAGCAAGGGGTGGATGGGCCCACACAGTTCCTCAAATGAATTCATAAGCCTTTAAAAAAATGCAGAACAGATTATTGCAGAGTAACCAACTTTATCATAAACAGCTCTTCACAACCAGCTGGAGGGAACAGCAGTGAAAGCCAGAGAGGCTCTGCAGCCATGATGGAACTTATTCCTCCTGCTGCTTATGTACCACCTCCACCACCAGCACCGGGGACCCTGAACAGCATGTCCTGCAGGTGAATAAAACGTCCAGCACACTTGTGACAGCAGCTGTCTTAACCACCTTCCAGTCATGTTACCATCAGGCTTGGGTGGTTACTGGAATTGAGCCTGCGTAGATGTTAGAATTTATACCAGACCCATCGGTCATTAGATACTTCAAATGGGGCCAGGATACAGCTGCTATTACTTAGCTCATCCAGCCAACCCAAGTCTGCACTGGCCTCC